GCTGCTGATGATGATGATGCTGACGATGATGGTGGTGATGATGATGATGATGATGATGATGAGGAGGAGGAGGAGGAGGAGGAGGAAGAGAACGGCCTTCATTCGTGGCGCCTTTTGTGTTCGAGCTCTCATGGAGCTCGTTTGGCGTCTTGGGGTTGTCTTGGTCTCCCGTGAGGTAGTCTCGGGGGTCTCTCGGGGCCCTTCTGGGTCTTTCGGGGGCCCTTCTTCCGCCGTCTTTCGAGGTTCTCCTCCTGGCCGGCCTTGGGAGCCCTGTTGTCCGTGCGGTGGGCGTCTGGGGAGGGGCAGGCTTTGAGGAATTCCACCTCGTGCACCTTCTCTTCTCCTCCTCCTCCTCCTCCACCATCCTCCCCCTGTTGGGGTATCGGACGGCTTTCCCCGCCCTTTGTTCTTCTGCATGCCCCTTCTACTTTTCTGATCACCTCAACTCCCTTGGGCATCGCTTCTGGATGGGCTGGTGGGGATACTTTTTCCCGTCGCAGCCGCGAGCGAAGGCACACGCAGCGTCAGAGGTCAACCTGGGCTACGGGCATTGGTGGGGATTTTTTTGGTCGCGGCCGCGCAGCAGAGGGCAGGCGGCGAACTGGTGGGGATTCGCGAAGCGTAGGCAATTCTAGAGCGCTCGCCTTCTCTTCGCATTCTCAGCCAGGAGGGCCCAAGGGGCTCCCAAGACGGCCACAGACGGCCCCAAGAGGGCGCCAAGAGGGCCCCACGAGGAGTTTTGGGAGGTGTCTTCGGGGGCACGACTAAGCGCTCCCGAGAAGGTCCCAAAGTTGGCTCAAGGCAGCCCCAAGAGGGCGCCCCGAACGCCCCACCAGGACCCTCGGAGGGGCCATTTTCGTGGATACGGCTCTCAACGTGCCCCCCCGACCCCCCCCCCAAGCCCGTCCAAAGTTCTTGAGACTCCCCACGGAGCGCCCGAAGAGGCAGCGCTGATGCATCCCAGCAAGCCTCCCAGCTGCAACATACGCTAATGCTCTTTAGGATTTGGACCTTGTATGCTTCTATACTTCGTGTTTTTTCCAAGGAATCCCTAGGACAACATAGGAATGCACACTTGCAGTACCCTACTTACTCCTCGACACCCCTCTTCAACCATTGCTGCTATCATGGTGCTGCGCTGGGGTCATTCAGTTTCTGGTCATTCAATATTGAGGAGTTTCAGGCGAGAGTTGCCATTTTGAAAATGGGCCGCCCTCCTTCCGTGTAATTGACGCGCAGTATACCGCTTGTGGTCATGATGTTTGAGAACCCAGGCGAGATCCATTGTGTGATAATGCACTGGCCTCCACCCGTGTAGCTGTTGGGCAGCTGTACACTTGTGCTAAGATTTGTTGAACGACCTGCATCAGTGTATCTGCTGCAAGCGTTTTAGCCGAATGCGCGGGCATTCGGCTAAAACGCTTGCAGCCGATGCACTGACACTCGGCCACCGTGCCGGCGCGGCATTCTGGGTGGCAACTGCTCGAGAAGGCAATGGGGGGCTGCCGGGGGCCTCTGTCGGCCGTCTTGGGGCCGTCTTGGGGCCTCATGGGGCTCGAAGCCTGGATTCGTGTTCCTACCCTTGGGCCCTTCTCTGGACCGTCTGGGGGCGCTCTTGGACAGTCGTGGGGGCCTCTTGGGCCGTCTTGGAGTCTTCTTGGGCCGTCTTGGAGCTCTCCTGGGGGCCTCTGGAGCCGTCTCGGGGAACTCTTGAGGGTTTCTTGGGTCGTTTTGGAACGTCGGAAGCTAGAAAAGGCGAGAACCCGAACAACATTGGGAAGCCGTGGGAACATCAATGATTGTTGTCTCTCGAGGCCTTCGGGAAGGATCTTGGGGCTCTCTTGGGACGTCTCGGCAGCCTCGTGGGCCGTCTTGAAGTCATCTTGGGCCGTCTTGAGGCCAACGTGGCCCGTCTTGGAGCGATACATGGCCTTCTTGTAGGCATCTGGGCCTCGGGATCGCAATCTTGTCTTATTTTGCAAGGGGCCCCCCCGCGTCCCCAGCGCCCAAGTGGGAGCCCCGCCCATTGCCCCCTCCGCTTTATTCCGCGTCGCGACGCACACCACTTCCCCCACCTTCCTCCCCGCGTCCCCAGCGCCCCAGTGGGCTCCGCCCCGTGCCCCCTCCGCCCCGACAATTTATTCCGCGTCGCGTCGCACAACACCTCCTCCTTCCCCCCCACGTCCACAGCGCCCCAGTTGGACCCCCGACCCCCCCCCCAGTGTCCCCAGCGCTAGAGTGGGACCCCCGCCCCGTGGCTCTCTGCCCCGAGCCCCCCCGCGTCCCCAGCGCCCCAGAGGGAGCCCCGCCCACTGCCCCCTCCGCCACGAACGCTTTATTCCGCGTCGTGACGCACACCACCTCCCCCACCTCCTTCCCCGCGTCCTCAGCGCCACAGTGAGGGCTCCGCCCCGTGCCCCCTCCGCCCCGATAATTTTATTCCGCGTCGCGACGCACACCACCTCCCCCCTCCCCCCCGTCCCCAGCGCCCCAGTTGGACCCCCGCACCGTGGCCCTCTGCCCCAAGCACCGCCCAGTGCCCCCTCCGCCCCGACCATTTTATTCCTCGTCGCGACGCGCACCACCTCCCCAACCCTCCCTCCCGCGTCCCCAGCGCCCCGGTAGGAGCCCAGCCCAGTCACCTGGAGCCTCACCTTGAGTCCCAAGACGAGCACCAAAGAGGGCACAGACTGGCCCTAGAGGGCCGGGAGGTTCGAAACTCAATTAACAAAACCATTGTAAAAACAATATGTTCGTTCTTCTCGCCTTTTCGCTTCCAGTCGGCTCGGGAGGCGTCAAGATAGCCCCAGGATGGCTCCAGAGAGGCGCAAGCCGAGGCCCGCCGAGGCCCAAGGCTGGCCGAAGAAGGCCCAAATAATTGAAATTCAATGATAACCCATCGGGAAATCAATGTCATTGGCCTTCTCGCCTCTTCGCTTACGATCGGCTCTTGAGGCGTCAAGATAGCCTCAGGACGGCGTCAACAGACGAGCCCCAAAGAGTACCAAGGCTGGCTGAAGAATGCCCAGAGAATTGCAAATCAATAAAGCTCATTGGGAAGTCAATGTTTTGGTCTTCTCGCTATTTCGCTTCCGGTCGGCTCGGGAGGCGTCCAGATAGCCCCAGGATGGTCCCAGAGAGGTGTAAGCCGAGGCCCGCCGAGGCCCAAAGCTCGCCGAAGAAGGCCAAACCAATTGCAATTCAATGATAACCCATCGGGAAAACAATGTTCTTGGCCTTCTCGCCCCTTCGCTTACGATCGGCTCTTGAGGCGTCAAGATAGCCCAAGGCTAGCTGAAGAATGCCCAGATAATTTCAAATCAATAGATACCATTGGCAGATCAATGTTTTTGGACTTCTCGCTTTTTCGCTTACGATCGGCTCTTGAGGCGACGAGATAGCCCCAGGACGGCTCCAAATGAGTCCCCAGACGAGCCCCAAAGAGGCCTAAGGCTGGCCCAAAAGGGCCCGGAGAGTCGAACATCAAAGAAAACCCAAGGAGCAAGACAGGTCCGAGGATTCGAAACTCATTATTTTGGGGGGCGCTCTTTCCAGGTTCCCCGGCCTTCTACAAATACATGAATAGGAATAGGTCTATGTCTATGTCTATGCATATGTATTTGTGTGTGTATGTGTATGTGTATATGTATATGTATGTATCTATACACTGCTCATCCCACGGGGGCACCGGCCACGAACTCCGGCCCACGGGTCTCTCCGCGCCGTGGGGGGTCCACCACCTTCCGAACGTCTTCGGACGGCTCGGCCCAGGACCGCCCTCTTGGACTGATTGGCGCACTGATTGGCCCAAGACCGCCCTCTTGGACTTCTCCTGGGGCCTCTTGAGCGTGTCTGGGGGGGCGCTTGGGCTGTCTTGTGCTGTCAGAAGCCGCCAGCACAGGGCGAGTATGCGAACATCTTTCACCACCTGTGGGCAATCAGCGATTCTTGCCTCTCCACGTCGTCTCGGGAGTCGTGTTGCTCTCTGGGTGCCTCTTTGGGGGCCCTCTCAGGGGGCCTCTTGGGGACCATCATGGAGTTCTTGAGGGCCGTATTTTTCGGGGGGGGGCTCCCAAGACCCCTTCGACTTGGGGCGGTCGTTGGCACGTTGGGCACATTCGGGGCGCAGGGGAGGGGCAAGGAACCCGTGGAATCCTTATCGTTTCGCGACTCACCCCCATCCAAAAGTAGGCACAAGGCGAGTTGCCATGGCCATGGATGTGTGGCAGCACGCTCATCGGCAGCCCCGTTTAGCCCGACCGCTGGTGCAGCGGGTCTGCCTCGCCGCAGGCAGACAAAATGTGTGGCAGCACGCGGTCCAGCTGTGATCCGCGTCCGCGTTCGCGGCTCCTCGTGGTCGTACTGGTTGAGCCGGTTGAGCGGGTTGCTTGTCGCCCGTATTGCGTCGCGCGCGCCCGGGGCCGCTTTGGTATGCTGGTTGCCTGTCGTTGCTCGCCGTGCGTGCGTGCTCTGGGAGCGGCTTGGAGGCTTGGGGGGGCCATCGTGGGGCCTTCTTGCGGCTCTCTCGGGGCCTTCTCGGGGCTCACTTGCGGCTCTCTTGAGGCCCTCTTGGAGAATATGGGGGCCCTCCTGGGGGGCCATCTTTTAAGCCCTTGGGCCAAGGGGGCACCCAAGTACGTCCTACCCCGTCTGGACCCGAACATTTGCCTCTTGGGGCGCTCCTGTGGCGTTCTTGGGGGGGGCCATCTGGGGCCAGGAAGGCCCATCTGGTACCTCGCCGGGAGAGGGTTCCAGACCCAGGGGGAGGGGCAGGGGGAAGGGGGCCCCCTCCCGAAGGGGAAGAAGGGGGGGGTACCAGAACGAGCTCGTTAGACCTCTCACGTCCTGCAAGGCTGGTGGGATTGGGCCATCGATCCCCCGTCTCAAACGCGCAATCTGGGGGCCGTATCCACGTCGGCTTGAAAGGCTCCTCAGGAACCTTCCGGACTACGTACCTCTCTCGAACACCACACCTCACTGCGCGTACTTGAAGGTTGACGATGGCGTCTGTCGTCTTCGTGCGCTTGGCGTTTTTATGGATGCCGACTGCAGTCGCAGTCCAGCTGCTTGCAGCCAGCAATTCCTCTAACCCCTGGATGCTGTATGCAAACATCAACCCCTGCGATGGTGGGAATATGGGGTACGGGGCATCCGCGTGGTACGGCAGTGCTGGGAGCGCCGCCACAAGTCTTACGAACGACTTCGTCGACGGCACAGTGGGGACTGCTCCGGTGAAGTACGTCACCATCGCTCGGCACGCCGGCGGTGCATGCGAGATGTCGAAGACGTGGGAGCTTACGAGCAGCACCAAATCGATGCATGACTATTTTTCTGACCACAACCCTGGGAGGATCTATGCCACGGGGGATGGCAGCGCCAGCGACACCCACATCGCATCGGACATGCCGTCATCTTTCAGTGGGGATGGCACGCCGGGGGACCCGATCTTTGGCGCCGATGGTGGCTTGGTGTTCAACTGGTGGTATTCGAACAATGGAGCTCGGGTTGCTGTTCCTGGTGGCTACAAGACCCCGTACTCTCTTCCGGGAACCGGGGAGAACAACGACGACCTCCACGGTCTGGGCAACGAGTTCGGTGCTAACACTCAAGCTGGTGGAGGGAGTGGCAGCTGGTGGCACGACGCTGCCAAAATCATGGGGGACTGCCACGGCACTTCCTGCCAGGTGCTTGGCAGCGACCACGGAAGTGCGTGGGGGAGCACGGACTTTGGCTGCTGGGGCAGCTACGCCATCTACGTGTCTGCTGCTCTGTCCACTTTCCCCTGCCAGGGCTCGACGCTGTCGGCGCAGGTGTCGGGGGCGGCAGCGGGCGGAGCGGGGGGCGCGGCTGCCGTTGGCGATCCCCACCTGCGGAACGTTCACGGTGAGCGCTTCGACTTGATGAAGCCGGGCAAGCATGTTCTGATCAACATCCCCCGTGGAGCGGGCGCTGAACGTGCCTTGCTTCGCGTGCAGGCCGACGCGCGCCAGTTGGGCGGACAGTGCGCGGATATGTACTTTCAGGAGCTGAACGTGACGGGGTCGTGGGCGGAGGCGAAACAAGCTGGAGGTTATCATTTCAGCGTGTCGCAAGGTGGCGACGTCGCGACTCCAGAATGGGTTGCTTTCGGTAAGGTCGTGCTCAAAGTCGTTCATGGGCGCACGGACAGTGGTCTGTCGTACTTGAACGTGTACGTGAAGCATTTAGGGCGAGCAGGATTTGCCGTGGGAGGTCTGCTGGGTGAAGACGACCACACGGGCGTAGTCACCCCTCCAGAGGCATGTGCCAACCGCTTGGCCCTGGTTGACAGTACGGAGGGGGGCCAAACAGCTCCCTCAGTGCTCTCAGTCGCAGAGGCAAGCCTCGCTTGACCATGCTTCAGTGCTTTCACTGGTGGTTCTCTGCTGCTGCTTCTCCTGTCTGCTGCTGCTCCTCTTCCTGTCTGCGGTCGGCGATCTGTCCATGTCAGCCGCTTCGAGCTCCTTTGCGCATTGGTGTACATACATTATTGGTTCGAGACGCTTCGCGCAACCCCACCAGCTCATCCAGAAACGATGCCCAGGGGAGTTCCCCTGATCAGGGATGTGGAATAGCATTCAGTGGAATAAAAGGCTGGAGAAGGCGTTATGTCCCAATCGGGGGAGGATGGAGGAGACATCGGAGGAGGAGGAGGGGAGGGGAGGAGGGAGGAGGGAGGCGAGAGGAAGAGGAGGAACAGTCTGCTGCTGCTGATCATGCTGATCATGCTGATGATGATGCTGATGATGATGCTGGTGATGATGCTGATGATGCTGATGCTGATGCCGTTGACGCTGCTGATGAAGATGCTGATGATGATGATGCTGATTATGATTCTGATGTTGAGGATGAGGAGGATGCGGAGGATCAGGACGAGCAGTTGGAGGAGGAGGGCACACATAATAGCCAGATGCTTCTTGGATGCTTCTCGGAGTCTCTTCGGATGTCTCTTGAGAGCTTCTTGGAGTGCTCTTGGGGCGTCTTGGGGGCCTCTTGACGGGCTTGAAGCGTCTTGGGTACCACGGCGAAGCCTCTTGGGGCCTCTTGGCGGTCTCTTGGTAGCTCTTGGGGGCCTTTGGGGGGCCTCCTTTGGGCCTCCTGGGCGCCTCTTGGGGCCGTCTTGGGGCAATCTTGGGAGCCTTGGGGGGCATCTTGGGGCGATCTTCGACGAGTTCGGTCAAATATTGGGGGGGTACTTCATCACCCCCCCCTCCCTCTGCGGGTCCTAAGAATCGTCTCTTGGACCCCTCTGAGCGCTCTTGGGGCTCTTGGGGACGTCCTGGGACCCTCTTGGGCTCCTGTTGGGGCTCTCTTGTGGCTTCTTGGACCAAGTGGAGCCACCTTGAGGCCCCCGAGGGCCGTCGAATGCGAAAAGGCGAGACGGCACCACACATAGTTGTCCTTAGTAGTTTATTGAAGGTCTTTGGCCTCTTGGGAGGTCCCTGGGAGGCTTCGGGGCTTGGAGCCGTCGGTTTTGGGCCGCTTGGAGCATGTGGGAAGCCATCTTGAGCTATCTCGAGCCATCTTGGAGGTCATCTTCGGCTCTTTGCGGCCCTCATGGAACCATCATGGGTCATCCTGGACGCTCTGATCGCTCGCCGCCCCCCGCCCCATGGCCATGTTCAGGGGAGGGGGTATGAGCAGGGATGTTACCTTTCCCGGTAGGGAAGAAGGGGGGTTGGGAGAGGACACTCACTAAACCACTCACGCCCAGTGGGTTAGTGGGACTCAGTGCGGATGCTTCCCGCCCGCACCGGTCTTCGTTTCAAGGCGCCCGCGTCGTTGATAGGAAGTTTAAGCTTTTGCCAGACTATCGTGTGAGTCCACGAGGCCTTGCGTGGGGGGAGAGCCGCCTGGGACGGGGATGAGACAGACGAGGCGGGGGGATGGGAATACTGGGCGTTTTCACTGGCACTGCTTTTGCACCAACTCGTAGCCACGCTGTTTCTGTTCAGGTTCTCGAGCCCTTGTCGATGCTCTGCTGCTGTGTCGGGTATTCTGCTCTTTGCTGGGTGTTCGGTTCAGGCGGAGGCCACACGAGCTGGAGGGTAGTTACTATCCAGCTGGCTGTGGCAAGTCTCGCCAACTTTCCAGCCCCACATTCTGGTTTGCGATTGAGAACCGTGATGAGGATGAAATGGTGATGAACATTATTCTGCTGCTGATGATGCTGATGATGGTGATGATGATCATGATGATGACGAAGGCGATGATGATGATGATGATGATAATGGTGATGATCATGATGATGACAATGGTGATGGTGCTGCTGATGATGCTGATGATGATAATGATGATGGTTGTGGTGGTGGTGGTGATGCTGACGCTGATGCAGCTGCTGCTGATGATGATATGATGATTGCGGTAGTGGTGATGGTGATGATGCTGCTATTGCTGATGGTTGTGATGGTGATGGTGATGGTAATGATGCTGTTCATGATGGTGGTGCTGGTGATTGTGATGATGCTGCTACCGCTGATGACGATGAAGATGAGGGTGATGATGCTGATGGTGCTGCTGCTGAAGATGATGATGCTGATGATCCTGATGATGATTATGATAATGATGACGGTGCTGATGATGGTGATGAAGATGATTATGCTGTTGACGATGACAATTGTGATGACGATGGTAATGAGGAGGGGGAGGATCAGGATGATGGTGATAAGGAGCAGGAGCAGGAGGCGGAGGAAAATTATGATGATTATGAGTGCGATGCTGCTGGTGATGATGATGTTGATTATGATGAGGATGGTGATGATGATGCTGTTGATGATGCTGATGCTGATGGTGGTGATGGTGGTGATGGTGTTGGAGATGATGATGACGATGATGATGATGATGATACTGATGATGATCATGATGATGATGTTTGTGATACTGATGACGATGCTTCTGATGCTGATGCGGATGATGATGAGGATGAAGAGGAGGATGAAGGTGATGATGATGGTGACGGTGATGGTAATGCTATTGATGATGACGATTATGATGAATGATGAATGATGGTGATGATGCTGCTGATGATGCTGATTATGATGACGATGGAAAATATGTTGGTGATGATGCTGATGAGGATGCTGCTGCTGATGATGATGATGAAGTTGCTTCTTATGCTGATTGTGCTGTTGATGACGATTGTGATGATGATGATGATGATGCTGTTGGTGAAGATGGTGATGATGCTGATGCTGATGCTGATGCTGCTGATGATGATGGTACTGATGATTGTGATGCTGATGCTGATGCTGATGAGAGACTGTTTTTTGTGGTCCGGCGATAACCCGGGTTATCGGGCTTGCCACCCTTCCCCCCCCAGGATAACCTAACCTTGCCGGTTGTGCAGGTCCGGGGGGGGGGCGCGGGCATATGCAGGGTTGCCCACAGCGCGAATTATGATGATGATGATGATGATGATGATGATGATGATGATGATGATGATGATGATGATGATGATGATGATGATGATGATGATGATGATGATGATGATGATGATGATGATGATGATGGTGGTGATATTGTTGTTGTTGTTACTGTTGTTGTGGTTGTTGTTGTTGGCCAAGTGGGTATTCAAGTACGCCCCACCCCGTCTGGACCCGAACATTTGCCTCTTGGGGTGCTCCTGTGGCGTTCTTGGGCGTTCTTGGGGGGGGCCATCTGGGGCCAGGAAGGCCCATCTGGTACCTCGCCGGGAGAGGGTTCCAGACCCAGGGGGAGGGGCAGGGGGAAGGGGGCCCCCTCCCGAAGGGGAAGAAGGGGGGGGTACCAGAACGAGCTCGTTAGACCTCTCACGTCCTGCAAGGCTGGTGGGATTGGGCCATCGATCCCCCGTCTCAAACGCGCAATCTGGGGGCCGTATCCACGTCGGCTTGAAAGGCTCCTCGGGAACCTTCCGGACTACGTACCTCTCTCGAACACCACACCTCACTGCGCATACTTGAAGGTTGACGATGGCGTCTGTCGTCTTCGTGCGCTTGGCGTTTCTATGGATGCCGACTGCAGTCGCAGTCCAGCTGCTTGCAGCCAGCAATTCCTCTAACCCCTGGATGCTGTATGCAAACATCAACCCCTGCGATGGTGGGAATATGGGGTACGGGGCATCCGCGTGGTACGGCAGTGCTGGGAGCGCCGCCACAAGTCTTACGAACGACTTCGTCGACGGCACAGTGGGGACTGCTCCGGTGAAGTACGTCACCATCGCTCGGCACGCCGGCGGTGCATGCGAGATGTCGAAGACGTGGGAGCTTACGAGCAGCACCAAATCGATGTATGACTATTTTTCTGACCACAACCCTGGGAGGATCTATGCCACGGGGGATGGCAGCGCCAGCGACACCCACATCGCATCGGACATGCCGTCATCTTTCAGTGGGGATGGCACGCCGGGGGACCCGATCTTTGGCGCCGATGGTGGCTTGGTGTTCAACTGGTGGTATTCGAACAATGGAGCTCGGGTTGCTGTTCCTGGTGGCTACAAGACCCCGTACTCTCTTCCGGGAACCGGGGAGAACAACGACGACCTCCACGGTCTGGGCAACGAGTTCGGTGCTAACACTCAAGCTGGTGGAGGGAGTGGCAGCTGGTGGCACGACGCTGCCAAAATCATGGGGGACTGCCACGGCACTTCCTGCCAGGTGCTTGGCAGCGACCACGGAAGTGCGTGGGGGAGCACGGACTTTGGCTGCTGGGGCAGCTACGCCATCTACGTGTCTGCTGCTCTGTCCACTTTCCCCTGCCAGGGCTCGACGCTGTCGGCGCAGGTGTCGGGGGCGGCAGCGGGCGGAGCGGGGGGCGCGGCTGCCGTTGGCGATCCCCACCTGCGGAACGTTCACGGTGAGCGCTTCGACTTGATGAAGCCGGGCAAGCATGTTCTGATCAACATCCCCCGTGGAGCGGGCGCTGAACGTGCCCTGCTTCGCGTGCAGGCCGACGCGCGCCAGTTGGGCGGACAGTGCGCGGATATGTATTTTCAGGAGCTGAACGTGACGGGGTCGTGGGCGGAGGCGAAACAAGCTGGAGGTTATCATTTCAGCGTGTCGCAAGGTGGCGACGTCGCGACTCCAGAATGGGTTGCTTTCGGTAAGGTCGTGCTCAAAGTCGTTCATGGGCGCACGGACAGTGGTCTGTCGTACTTGAACGTGTACGTGAAGCATTTAGGGCGAGCAGGATTTGCCGTGGGAGGTCTGTTGGGTGAAGACGACCACACGGACGTAGTCACCCCTCCAGAGGCATGTGCCAACCGCTTGGCCCTGTGACAGTGCAGAGGGCCTTCAGTGCTCTCGGTCGCAGAGGTAAGCCTCGCTTGACCATGCTTCAGTGCTTTCACTGGTGGTTCTCTACTGCTGCTTCTCCT